ATGAAAATAGAGGTCGGATGAGATTACCATGACGGAAATAACATGGAAGAGGCATTCGGACGAGACTTCCGCTGTTGCAATTGCGCAAAGAGCTGACTACGTCAAGCCAGAACTGTACAGAACTGCCTTTCACTGCATCTTTGGGTCATGACAAATTGTTTGAGCTTCCTTCACCGATTCATTTATCTTTTATCTGTGATGCCTCTATAGTGCCGGTGAAACTCGTCCGAGGATTCCTAAAACCCAATATTTGAGCTTTTAACGCCCTAACTAGGCCGCTTTCCGACATGATAGCGCCAGGTATGGTATAAGAGGAAGCCTCAAATTCATTCTATAGGGAAATTCCAGGAACCATTTTTATCGTGACAAATTCATTCTATGGGGAAATTCAGCAACCATTTTCATGGTGAACTGTGCCTTTGAATAGTATGGGTTAATTGAATGGTTGCCGCATTAGATGTTTCCCAGAGTATAGTCCTTTTCCCCAATGGTCATGGTGCGGGAGGACGAGACCATCGAAGCCTGATCTCTTAAAAACGTCCGTCTCTGTCAAACAGTTGACGGGCTCTTGCACCACTGTTGTACAACGTAGCCCGATCAGAGATCTGCACGGAGGAGTCTTTGACTTCCACTGTGATTCCTTGTTCAACACTCCAGTTACATACCTTGTATGGATTAGAAGGAATCCTTGTCGAGCGTTTGGAAGAATAAGTTTATGCGGTGCAGCTGTGAGGTCCCGAAAAAACAGTGGGTGCATCCCAATTTATCACCATTGACTGGGTTGTGGTGGAACACGTTGAATCTAAGTAGTGATGTTGGCGATACGATACGACTAATTATGGTAGCACACGCAACTGGCGATGGTATTGACGCAAGAGTTGTCTGCAAAATCATCTGGACTAATGAGAGTGAAAGAAAGGATGGTTGCTGCCGCTGCAGATCTTTCAGGCCTTCGGATTATGCTGAGGAATGACCCAGCCGGTTTTTCTCAGTTCGAACTGGGTAGTGAAGGTGCGCGAAATCTAAAGAGTCGCTTCGCTTGCTCCATTTTCCTCCCTCACTTCAGATGAGGCTCTTCTGGAAAACTTGTTGGATTTTGAAAACAACTCTCCCTAGCCCAGAACGCGGCTGATGACCTCGAGTTTTGGGGTCGCGCTATAAAAGTCGATCTTGGCATTACAGCGGAGGTGTTCGGGTGTTCGACTTCCGCATAATTATGCATCAGGTGAGACTTTCTTTTACCTTGAATGTTGACACTTTCAAAAAAATCTATTTTATGCCGTATTCAATCTGGTGTTTGTGAGGTGGTACACAAGATCAAATACAGATCTCTCCCAAAAAATGTAGTGATTCACTCCTTAGGGGGAAGTCTTCCTATTTGAAGCAGTTGTTTCGATATGAATGTGATCATTCGCCGTGCAGCCCTGTCCCATTTGCTTATTAGATCTACCAGAAATTCCAAAAATTTTAAGAATTGTATGAGTGTCAGATCGGCATAAGCCACGGGCATCAAGCAGCTCCATGACCCTTCGCAAATCATTTTCGCCACACCCTCAAACGGCAGCTTCAAATGGCAATGTGGAATTCTCTGCTTGATGAGTCAGGCATCATACAAAACGGTCAATTTGGTCTTGCAGTCGTCGGCTTTCGCTGGTAAACCGACTGGTGATTCGGTTTTCGATCCACTGCTCGACACCACTCTTCCCCATTTCAAATCGATTGCGAAAATGTTTTCACATTGACACCAAATTTAGATAGATGCGAAAGTATTAGCAGTTATCCGTTTTGTTGTCTTGGAATGAATTCGTACCACAATCATAACAGTAACATCAGGTCCCGTTTTTGGGAACATGGTAATGCTCATTAGTTCCATTGAAAAACATCCACTGGTGGTAGATTGGTTGAATCCAGTGAGCATCCTTGAAAAAGGCATGAAAACGGTAAATAGTGAAAACGGCTCGAAACTGAATCAGCTTTTAACTAGCTCTTCTGGTACATAGGAACATTAACACAGATGAAACACCCAGAGACGTCATAGCTTCTTTGGTGTTGTTCTGTGCTAAATAAGGATTTGCTTCGTTAATAGTAGGATTCATTGAACCAAAACTTTGTTCTTTAGCAAAATTATTTATACTTCCAGCTCCTTCTCCTTCTCGTCACCTTCATTGCCAGCATAAACACTGAATCGTATAGTGAGTCACTCTGGAATAAATCTACGAATTACATGTCTTACATGGATAATTCAAGAGTTTCGACTTTTTACGACAACGTTACCTAATGGAACTGTTTGAATAACTTCTCATTTCATTCTGTTTGGATTTTTCAACTGCGTCGTCCGCCACCAGTAATACTGACACTTAACTGAAGCTTGATCGGGATGGTGAATGCTAAAACATGACGAGTCAATCTTGATAAACCACTGATTGCTTGTTATATGACTTTCAGCTGGGATTGTTCCACGTATATTCCTAGAGCATCTCCGTAATAACTGAATTGATGCCAAAATCTGAATTCGAACAACAGTGATGAGATCCATAGGAAATCGAAGCTAGACACGAGCTTCTGGAAACTTCAAATTTATGGCTTTTATTTTTTTATTTTTTACTTATTTTTCCAAATTTTCTATTTAAATTACAACCATCGGAGAAATGAAATCTCAATAGATGCCTTTCCATTTCTGAATGGAGGGCTTACCCTCTGATATTCCTCCTTTCAAATCCTGATTTCAGTTCCACCGGGTGAGGATGGTGAATCATGCTTAGTACGGAACTTATGCAGGTCTGGCACTGTCTGTGTACAAACTGTGACAGGTGCTCGGTGCATGGCTAAAGACCCAGGTTAGTTCTACTACCACTAAACAGACTGATGCAATCGTGCGAGCTTCAGACAACTTATGAGAGCGAGTCGGCAGTGGTGAATCAGCAGCTTTTGAACTTTTCAGTCTTTATGTGATATGTATAGAAGCGTGGTGTTGGGATGAAAGTGAGAGGGAAATTCGAAAAAGAAAATCATTGAGTAGTCATTTTGAGCCGTGGCTCTAGAATATTGCTGAAAAACTCGGGGAACAGCGAGTTTCAATAACTTCAGAATAGGTTGCGAGGAGATGGTTGACGTTTTTCGATTCATTCAGTTTACATCGTAAACTCTGTTCTTCTACGTTTGAGCACTATTACTTGTGCTACTGCCCTACTTCGTTCTGTCATTTTTGAGGCTCCTACAAGTTGATTTTATTTCATTGCTTTCGGCTTTGAATACACGAATTTGTCACGTATTGATAGAAGGTCTTAGTTAACATTAGGTTGTTAGCCATGCTATATCTGAGCGTACAATGGGCACTTATTAGGTCCCACTCACTCAAATATAGGCTTCTAATTAACTTTAGCTAACTCGTCATGTAAAAAGTGCCAAATGCACACATGTAAATGTATTGATAGACTGTGCCTTGACAACAAAATGCTCCCTACTCACCACCTAGGGGTGCGCCCCCTGCTGGCCAGATTGGCCAATAACATACAAAAAAGGGTGGATTGCTCTCCAGGTACTTCCTAGAGAAGATAGAAGGTACAAATCAGCGTAGCACATCATATGAAGAAAGTCTGCTTCCTATTTTACCTTCTTCTCGAAACAAGTTCATGATGACTTCCGACCCGCTGATCACTGATCAGCAACTGGGATCGTAAGGGGCTCACCGACTTGGTCAAGATCCTTCAGTAAGATATGACTTTGGAGAAAAGTGGCTAATGGCTCTAGAGCCTTGACTACAACTAAAATAACAATTGGGAGTCATGTATGCGTAGGTGGAGGAAAACGCTGTATAATTCGATAACAGAGAAGAATGACCATCATTACTTAAATTCGAGCGCTCTGCTTTCAAGAGATTCGGATCAGTATTCCTTGCATGATTTATTGGAACATATCAATCTCGAACCAGCGATCGCGTTTCAAGCTAACATTGCAGCAAAACATCACTTTGTCTACCCTTTGAAAGTGACTGAACCGATAAATTTGTACCTAATACCGAATTTAACAATCTGCAATTGCCAAAGTGCCTAGAAGCCAATTGGGGATTTTCCGGTGTAGCGGTGCTGAGACTATAAAACTCGAGCCACCTTTGAGCCTCTGAAAATGATATAAGGTTCACCAAGAGATGAATGATTTCGAAAGGAATAAATGCAACACCTCAAAGTGGATTGGAGCTGTGTTCATAACCTCCTTTCAGGTGTTCCTACGGATCTATACCTTTAGGAAATGGATTGCTGAACAAGATCTATAAAGTGACTGCATATCGTTCAATTTGATTTATTCACTTTTTCAGAGAATAACTGCGACCAAAAAAGGTGTCCCTCAGGAACAGCGTGCGAGTATACTGAACCAGAGTGTATTCAGGACAAACCTTGTTACGCGGAGCCAATGTGCAAGAACCAAGGGCCTCAAGGTGAGCTCCCCGAAGTGTATACGCGTCTACGAAATCGAGTATTGCGAATTTAGTTGTACCGCAAGAACAAACTGCAGAAATGGTTCCCAACCAAGTCCTTATTCCATCAAATCAACGCAGCAATCCACCAGGTATTATTATGAACCAAATAAGTGATTTTTGACAGTCAGTCCTAGCTCAATGTTTGTAATTGGCGAAGTGTATTCGGTCCGCAATCACCGGGGCTCGGGTTTGGCTGTGAAGAAACCTGTGGAAGTTATATGGATTGAAGCTGCTCGCTGCAAACTTTCAAGGAAGCCAGCACTTAGTTTTATGCGTTCCGTCGCCGCACAGTAAGGAGGTTTATGGTCGCTCCTAGCTCCCCATTCTAGCATTCAACAGGAGCGGTGTTATAGCTGAAAGTAGGGCACGAAAGCGGGTCAAGGGATGTTATTGTTTGAAGGCGCTATTCACAATAGTTCTGAGGTATCCAGTTCAAGTGAAATAATGGAAGCCATGGTGTAGAGCAGACGTATTCTAACAATATAACTTCAAAAAAAGTAGCGAAAAACGAAGTTGCGCAAAGTCGCCGTTCGTGACCGTCTGGGTATCTCCCACATAAGCGCCCGGTTCATCGAACACTAAGCTTCACCAAGTGAGTAGTGCAGTTTCAACAAGGTCGGCATATACGGCCATTTTTGTGTGTATGTCCAAACCGGAGCCAGACCGGTGGAGCCCTTATTGCACCCTAGTCTAGGCCATTTTTCGACACGACGACGTCCCTTGTGCTGTTTATGGGGACTCATCTTAAGAGAAAATCGTGAAACCATTTCTACCGTGAATTGTGCCTTTAAACTGTTTGTTGACGGACGTCTCACTGTAACTTAGTCAATAATTACTACATTTTTTTTGAACTCAGTTTTGCACTAGGTATTAATGTAATAACTCAAAAATACGAACTACCGACGACGAATTGATAAAAGTTCCAACCGCACTGAATGAATTGTGCACAGTGCTAAAACTTGTACTATAACCCAATATAGCGCTCTTTTTTCGAAACTCGATCTCTCGTCGGTGCCCCTCGTTCAGCAGTGGTTTACCCTTGGAGGAAGAATGATTGTAGTGGGAGATTCAGAAGAAGCACCTTACTATAGTGCGTGCCCTCTTATTGCAATCACAGATATTTTTGAAAACGATTTTCATAAGGTCACACAAAAATAAGTTGAAATTAAAAACAAATGAAATTAGAACGTCTTCCGCACTCATAGACAGAGATACATTGATGTCACCCTTTGTTCCGGGCAGGAAAGAAGAGCCTTTTCAGTTCCAGCATGTGGAAGGAATGAAGTACTGAATGGATGTGGAGCCTTATGCGAGGGAAAGTGTGAGAATGTAAACAGGGTTGGTCTATTGCATGCTTAGTGAAGATTACCCACGTTATGAAACGTTAGTTCAGGGACCAGTCCCCTGTCCACTCATTTGTCTTCCCCCAGCATGCGCATGCCGCGAGGGCTTCTACAGAGACGCTAGCAATAACTGCGTGAGTGCATCTCAGTGTCCAAGGCGTAAGTTGATCCCTCCACTGCGATTTCACTAACTCTTCAGTCTTCCAGGAAGTGCGTTTTCTCCAATACAAATAATCAGTAGAAGTTTCCAGAATGCAGCGCTAATGAAACATTCAACTCCTGCGGAAACCTGTGCGAAGGAAAATGCGAAAACGTCGGCAGGGTACGTCGAAGTTTTTTTTCTTGTTATACATACAGTAGCGCTCAAAAGTATTCGGCCAACTTTAACTTAACTTTTTTCCCAGTGGAGCAAATCACATGAAATTTTGATATGTTTAGCTGAAGCATATTTTGGACTGTCCAGCACTACTTGACTGCAAAGCAGCAATATCCACATAACTCTTGGGAGGGCGTTCGTAGGCTATGCTGAAAGCAAGTTTGTGACGTCTGCAGTTATTCGGACCTTATGTACGTTTTTCTTCTCTTCTGTGTTCGGCATTAGCGCTCGTACACTTTGGACATGGCAGAAAGAGAAGAGTTCCTAGATGCACCAATGCCCATATTTTCAGTTGGTTTCGATTTCAAGCTCTTTGGGATACTTGGAACTTGGTCAAAATTCTATATATATATAATACTATATACAGTGCCTTTCATAACATGCGTCACCCTCAAATTTTGCACTTTCAAAAAGGCAATCATTAAGGATTCTTTCTAGCATCATGAACGGATTCCCCAGCAAGAATAACCCAGGTATCCGTTCTTTAGCCGCAGCTGCATTTTTCTGAACTTTTTTCAGAACAGTTTATCGGTTTTTGTGCCGTTTCATAATTATAAGGTCACCCTGAGAAAGTAAACAATCATTCATGGAGGAGAGGAAATTTCGTCATTTAAATTACTTCTAAAGATAAGCATGTGTAGCAAATGCATTTCTAAACCTGACTGTCAACATGGCTCGTGGTCGTCTGCTTCCCCCTGATGAGGAGGCTCATCATGGAGCTGGGCTCAGTACCCGAGCCCTCTCCAGGCAAATAGGGGGATCTCCCTGGTCCATTCAAAGATTTCTGGAGAGCCCTGATGTCCCTAGATATAACGCCGACTGTGGACACCCATGATAGATTACTGCCCGTGACGAGCGGAAGATTCTCAGGACTGTTTCCAACAGTACGTCCTCCTTGAAAAAGATCCGATCGGAATTAAACCTCTCTGTGTCGAAAACTACAGTCTGAAGAGCAGTGAGAAGATGGGAGAACATCACAGGCATGCAATGGAGGAGGTGCCACGAATCACCGATCGCCACAGAAAGGCTCGACTCGTATTTGCAAAGATGAACCTAGGGAGAGATTGGGCAAAGGTAGATGTGCATCAAAATCTCACCGTAGAATAATTCCTATTCAGGTCGTCTTTTAGAATGAAAAGAAATTCAATCTTGACGATCCTGATGGAAACAAGCACTACTGGCGCGACTTGAAGAAGGCACGAGTCTACTTCAGCCGTCGCGATTTCGGTGGAGGAAGTCTATGGTGTGGGGTGCATACTGCAATGATGTCGTGTTGGATCTACCTTTCGTGAGCTGCAGTATGGATTTCAAGGATTACCAGAACGTCTTGGAACATCATCTAGTACCCTCTCTCTGCCATCGCCATCACCTCAACTATGTTTTCAACAAGAAAACGCCTCCATTAATGTGAGCCGTGCAGCGAATGAGTGGCTGCAATGCCAATACATAAGCGTCCCGCCATGTTCAGCCTGCAGTCCCGATCTCAGTCCGATGGAACATATCTGGGGCGTAATAGTCATACAGGTTTATGCGAATAACCGTCAGTTCCAGGGCACAGAAGAGCGGAAGCGGGCAGTTATCGAAACATGGAGAGCAATCGATGAGGAACATCTTCGAAACCTAGTTTTCAGTATGCCACGCAGGCTCTTTGATGTTGCTCTTAAAGAAGGAGGAGCTATAGATTATTAACTGTTGTACATACAGTAGCGCTCAAAAGTATTCGGCGAAATGCGTCTTCAGTTGTAATTTTCAGTCATAACTCCTTTCCTTTTGAATCTAGTCAAGCGAAATTTCAATATGTGTAGCATTGGTGTAGTGTGAATATTTACCACTATCAGCCTGCAATTCGATCATGTTCCAGATATCTCGAAGGGCTTGAATAAAAATTCGACACGTACATAAGGTTCGAATAACCGCAGACGTCACAAACTTGCTGTCAGCATAGTCTACAAACGCCTTCCGCTTATTATGTGGGCATCGCTGCTTTGCAGTCAAATAGTGTTGGATAGTGTGAGATATGCTTCTGTTAAACATATCAAAATATCATGCGATTCGCTTCACTGGGAAAAAAGTTATGGCAAGTTCAATTTGGCCGAATACTTTTGAGCGCTACTCTATGCCATCAACGTAAATAAATCATTTACTTTCTCAGGATAATTATGAAACGGTGCAAAAACCGACACTATCTTTAGAAACTTCGTAAAAAATTTGAGGTGAAGGATATTGCGACCAAAATTCGAATACATTGTGATGAGGGATGTTCCAGTGTTTACCAAAAATTTCATTCCGTCCATGAAAATAATGACATTCTACCATAAAGTTTTCGTATAATTTTGCGAATGACATCAGAGTTGGTCCACGCCTGATACACAAATTCAGTCGCCACTGGTAATGTGACATGTCAGGGAAATGTAGAAAGTCTAATAGCTTAAATATGACTGATGATTCAGGATGTCCGATGTCCTGTATTTGGTCGTTTGGAAGGCTTGTTTCGTGCATAAATGTAAACAAAAAGCACCTGGTGATACAACCACATTCAGGGTCCTGTTCCGTGTCCCAGGATATGTGCACCTGGAGCGTGTGCGTGCAAGGAGGGATATTACAGGAATGCCAACGGCAGATGTGTGGATGCTAACAGCTGTCCTGCAAGTCAGTTTAGTTCGGAGAGCTTTTCTGTGTTATACTCAAGACCAGTCGGGCCGGTCGCCTAACGCCGGGCTTCCCTCCCTATGGCAGGGCTGTAATAATCGGGAAATCAACCCCTCCACATTTTGAACAAATGATATTTTTTGGAACACGAAATTCGACAGAGGTCTAATAAGGCATGCAAGATGTATTCAAAATGAGCGGAAGCTTATGATTATGATTAGAAGTCTTATTCTGTTGCTGTTCTTCTTAAAAATGATGATCCATTGAACATTCAACTGGTGAGCAACTAAAGCTCTAAATGGTACTTACTTCTACCAAAATAGAACTTTCTAGGTCCACAGGGAAAGGTGTTATGAATTTCTGTTCGAACACCGCCCATTGTGAGCGGGGCCCGGTCCTGCCACTCACATTGAGTGTTACCATCCTGTCCCCAGTACTCCTACCAACTTTGAATGTACTAAGTCCACGAAGGCAGGAGTTATTGATTTCCGATCGGACCCACACAAGCACACACACACAAACACACAAACATTAGCGCGTTATATATAGTAGGATAACACCGTGATTTGCCTTCCCGTTCTTAAATGATTACACTAATTACCGGTTGTATTATCCGACTCACGCTGGGCTCTACTTTTTGTGATTATTTTGAAAAGCATCTATCTATTCTATATATAATCCTTCTATATATAATCCACAAGTTTGGTGTGTCTGTTTGTTTGTATGTATGTATGTATGTATGTATGTCTGTGTGTTCACGCAATTCTATTTCACCGGAAAAAACACCTTTAGAGGTCGGGACAAGTTCGGGATTGGTGGAGCCTGGGACAAGATTAACAGAGCATATGTGGGCTCTGCGGAGCTCCGCCCACCGGGGGCGGGGCAAGTGCCGGAGAGGGCGGTGCCAAGAGCTAAATACCTTATTTTGGCTCCGAGAAAGTCCAGACACCGGGAAAAAAGAGCAAAGGTGAGTATTGGGTCATTAAACCAGATGGAGGAGACTCATGTGCTGTGGGCGGAGCTTTCTCAAAACGGGCGGTACTTTTCAAATGTATTCATAACTCGATTCAATTAAGGCGCAGAGGTCAGGAAAAAAAGAAGAAAAGTGAGCAGGGCCTCATGCGTGTTGGGCATGCGTAAGCTTGGCGAATCCCCGCCCACGATGGGCGGGGCGTGCGTTGAGACGAAAGCCACTTTTCAAAAATGAACGCAACTTTGCTTGGAAACGTTTTAGAGTGCGGGGAAAAAGTGGTTAGAGGTAATGGAACAAATGTGGTCAAATCCCAGAAGTGGGCGTGGTTGGCACTAAAGTGGGCGGAGCTTAGATCAAAAATTTATAACTCTATTCAGAAACGTTCTGGGATGCGGGAAGAAAGTGGTAAGATGTAATAGAACAAATGTGGTCAAACCCCAGAACTAGGTGGGGTTGGCACTGAAGTGCGCGGAGCTTACATCAA